GGTTTTGAAAATTCATAAAGCCAAGGAAAAGCAGTCATCAAAGAGCTAAAAGATGAGATAAAGAAACCTTTACTTAACTCTACTTTGTTTCAGTTAAAATTCTTTAAGGGGGCGTTTGGATGGGGGAATGCGGGATTTCTATGGGAATGAAATCCACATTCTCCAGTTTGGTTAGCTGAGAATCTCATTTCCGGTAATTTAAGATTACCAATAGTTGATTTTTAGGGTATATTTCCGGGAATGTCATTAGCTCTCTTTCCTTAGGTATTGTTGAATTACCGGCGTTTTGGACTAAAATACCCTTAATTTTTTTTCTTTCAAAAATATTATTTTTCTGTAATTGAATATTAAAAATTCTACGAATATTAAATTACAAATTTATCCTTAAACTATTTTAGATTTACAAAAAAAATCTATAATTAAAATTTTATATGAAGTTCAGGGGGTTAAAATAAAATTTTACCCTTTCATTAAACCTTTTTATATTTTCAATTTTGTAAAAAAATTATATAAGTTTTATGAATTTAAATTTTTTTAAAGAAAATATATAAATATTTTCCAACTTGTTAAAAAACAAATATATAATAAGGACAATTTGATCAAATATACATTCCAATAATCTTTTATTCCTTTAACCAAACACGGTAATCTTACATTCCTACTAAACCAAACAAACACAAAATACAACATTCCCAGTAATCCTATTCACTGGTAATCTTACATTCCCACTGGTAATCTTACATTCCCACTGGTAATCTTATATTTCGTGAACCAAACGCACCCTAAGGGATTATGATTTGATGCATATTATTACTGGTGAGTTGTTTGTTTTGAACATGAATTAGCATTTAGTTGTTGGCAATAATGTTTTACTCCTTGTTCGCTCTTCCAAGATGCATGCCATGGTTAAAGCATATAGGTTCAACCGACAAAAGCTCGGATTAAACTGATAAAAAGACCATATAGGTTGATTGTTGATGTGGTAATACTTATGTCGGTTGTGTTTCTCCTAATCTTCCCTTGTCCTCAACTAGTGTCCGTCGTATTTCTATATAAGGGCATTTGGATATGATCCATAAAGCATGCTCGTGTTGAAAGTTATCCATTTTCAGGGGTCACTTAAATTTGAGTAACAGAGATTAATGTTGAAGCTATATTTAATAAAAGGGATAGATATTAAATTTATAAATGAATTTTGATTTGTTGTAGTTACATATAAAATTTTATTGTCTTTAGTTTTGATTCAATCGTTTACATTTAAATAAATTTATTTATTTATTTCGTACTGGATAAAAATAATTATGTGAATGTAATATATAAATTTCAAATGGTGTTCATAGATGATGGTGATAATAAATTGTAAAAATTATATAAAATTAATATTTTATGTATAAAAATACACAAAATCATTGAGGTTGTTGATAAAATGACCACGGAATAATTCATTCATTCAAAAAAAAATTAATTTTTATTGTCAAGAATGGGATTCGAACCCATGCCCTTTCGGACCAGTACCTGAAACTGGCGCCTTAGACCAACTCGGCCATCTTGACTTTAGATGCTTCTTTTTGCTGTAATATTTTATATAGCTTTTAAGTTTTTATTTTCCTTCCTAAAGTATAGTCTCAGAAGATCAAAGAAGTAATATCTGTAGATTCATCCAATGAAATGCGTTCTCTTTTCCATAAACAAGTTCATACCCAGATCTATTGCACTTGTCATGAATGTATATCAACTCTAGCTTCCATTGAAGCCTCATCCATTTGCAGTGTAGAAAATGATGAGACAAATCCAACTTTCTCTAATGCTTCTAACCTTTTCATTGATGACAGAAGATCAATACTCTCTTCTATCAAAAGCCCCAAATTTTTACATGCCCATTGGCTTAAAACATCAAAACTTCAATCCAATATCATTGTTACAAATATTTTGCTTGATGGGCTCTGTAAATGTGGTTCAATGGAACAAGCTGTTAAACTGTTTGATGAAATGCCCGAACCAACCGTAACTTCATGGAATACTATGATCTATGGGTTCAATTACAACAGGTTGTTTGAGAGTTCTTGGTTATGGTTTCGAAAAATGTGGCCTTCAGGTTCGGAACCCGATGAGATTAGTTATAGAAGTGTGCTTTCGGCTTGTGTTTCTATGCATAGTACTAGGTTCGGCAAGCAGGTTTATTCAGTTAAGATGAAAAATGGGTTCTTTTCGAATGGATACGTTTGTACTGGAATGATTGATTTGTTCTCAAAATGCCGTGCCTTACGGGATGCTTTGAGGGTGTTTTATGACGTTTCGACTTGTGAGAATGTGGTATGTCGGAATGCTATTATATCTGCAGCTGTTAAGAATGAAGAAAATTGGGTTGCTTTTGATCTTCTTGTTCAAATGAGAAAGCAGTTTTTGATGCCTAACAGTTTTACCTTCTCGAGTGTTTTGACAGCTTGTGCTGCACTTAATGAGGTTGAGATCGGAAAAGAAGTTCATGGATGGATCGTTAAATGTGGCGTTGAAGATGTCTTTGTGGGAACTACCTTGATTGACTTGTATGTCAAGTGTGGACACATGGATGAAGCCGTGAAGACATTCTCATGGATGCCTATGCTAAACGTTGCTTCTTGGACTGCTATAATTTCTGGATTTGTGCAGAAGGGTGATTGTGTCAATGCCCTTGAGCTTTTTAAAGAAATGAGATATACAAATGTGGAAATAAACAGCTATACCGCTACCGCTGTAATTTCTGCTTGTGCTAAACTAAACATGATTGAAGAGGCTACGCAAATCCATTCGTGGATTATAAAGTGTGGATTTTTTATGCTTTCAGTGATACAAGCTGCGTTAGTCAATATGTATTCGAAAATAGGATTCACTAATATGGCTAACATAGTGTTTAAAGAGATGGAAAGCCTGAGGATTCCAGCAGATACATTAGCTGTGTTGATTTCTTCTTTTCCTCAGAAACATAGTTCTCACCACGTAATTGAATTATTAAGGAGAATATTAAAGGAGGGTGCAAGACCAGATAAGTCTTGTACTTCTAGTGTCTTAAGTGTGATAAAATGTATAAAACTGGGGAGGCAGATGCACTGTTACATTATTAAAACCGGGTTGATCTTCAATCTTTCTGTTGAGACTTCTCTTTTCACAATGCAATCAAAATGTGGTAGTTTAGAAGACTCATTAAAGGTATTCCGGAGTATGCCTGTCCATGACAATATTTCATGGGCTTCAATGATCGCTGGGTTTACAGAACATGGCTATGCAGAAGAAGCTGTTCAAATGTTCAGAGATATGAAATCCGAAGGCATCAGACCTGATAAAATAACTCTATCTGCAATTCTTTCTGCATGTTCATCTCTTTATTCTCTGCGTAAAGGCAAGGAAATTCATGGGTATGCAATCTGTGCAGGTCTTGGCAATGAAACACTTATTTGTAGCACACTTGTAACTGTATACTCAAAATACAGAGCAATACGATTAGCAAGAAAGGTATTTGACATGCTTGTCCCAAAAGATCTTGTATCATACTCGTCCTTGATTTCTGGGTATGCACAAAGTGGTTTAGTTCAAGAGGCAGTGTTGCTTTTTTGTGCTATGATGAAGTCTAATTTGGCTGTAAACTCTTATACACTTTCACCCGTCCTTGGGGCCTGTGCATTAACAAATGAATCAGGCATTGGGACTCAACTGCATGCACTTGCCGTAAAAATGGGCTTAGTTTCAGAAGTTTCTGTTGGAAGTTCACTTGTTACAATGTACTCTGAATGTGGGAGCATTAAAGATTGTGAAAATGTATTCAACGAGATTGCTAAACCTGATTTAGTAGGTTGGACAGCTATGATCTCAAGCTATGCGCAGCATGGAAAAGGTTTAGAGGTCATAAGAATCTTTGAGCTCATGAAGAAAGAAGGAATCAGCCCTGACTCGGTAACTTTCATTAAGGTTTTATCTGCCTGTAGTCATAGTGGACTGCCTGTAGTCATAGTGGACTGACTGAAGAAGGTTACTACTATCTAAACTCAATGGCAGAAGACTACGGAATTCAACCTAATTACCAACACCATGCCTGCATGGTTGATATTCTCGGTCGGTCTGGGAAACTGAGAGAGGATGGGAAAGTTTTTAAACAATATGCCTATTGAACCTGATGCCTTCATATGGGGAACGCTACTTGCTGCTTTTAAAGTACATGAAGATGTTCGGCAGGCTGGCAGCAAAGAAGTTCATCGAGTTACAACCTTGTAATTCTGGAGCTTATGTTTCCTTATCTAATATCTGTGCTGACATAGGTCAGTGGGAAGGAGTCCTAGAGATCAGAAGCTTGATGGAGGGAAGTGGTGCGAGGAAGGAACGGCGGTCGGAGTTCTATGTGAATTTTGATGCAGATCACTTTCTATTCTATGTTGGGTTGTTTCGTGCTATTTGAGCTGAAGTTCCATACTTTCCCAGGAATTGACCCATTTTCAAGAAACTGGAGCTTGCTTTCTTGGACAAGGAACATGCCTTTCTTGCACTCTAGTAAAGGTATGCCAATTTATATTTTGAAATCAACTTTCTACTTTAAATAATTTTTATACATTGGTCTTATGGTCTTATATGTACTTGATCTTTTTGTAACTAGAATGTGAATGCAAGTTATGATTATGTGTCCAACATAGACATGCTAATATTTTTTACAAAGATTTTCATGTATTAGAAGGTTTTTGGTGGATTATATACCTATATCCGAATATGCATTGACACGAATATTTCAAGAAAAATAAAGAGTTGAAGTAACATAGACTCATTATCATGCTATCATCTGTCCACAATTCCTTCAAAAGTTAATTTGTGTGTGTTGACAGATCACATCATGGAGAAAGACTCTCATAGTTCAAAATGAAGGTTACATTTTCAACTCGAAACTGAGGCAATAGCTACAACAGCACATGCTAAGCTGCCGGGAGCAAACCTCTATCTTCAACTTCAAGGCTATAAACTGTTTAAAGTGTAATCATTTACTTCAATATGGTTTAAAAACATTTTAAAAATTTTATGGTTCAAATCAGCAATAATATACAACCCCCTATATAAATCATATGATATTACCTACTTTGAAGCTTCTTTAGTAGCTTCTTATCTCTAACTCCATCATGAAGAAGATCATATGCATAATAAGTTATATGTCCCCTTTTCAACAAATCTTCTACAACCATCTTAGGAGCTGCAATTTCCTTCTTATCTGACTCAAAGATGGTGTTCACAGTCTCAGGAACTATGCCCTTTTTTACCATCAGGTGGATCAGACCAACTGCATTATGAACTTTATTCTCTACGCAAAGACAGTTTATAACCCGTCCGAATGTTGTTGAAGATGGAAGGAACCCTTTCTCAACTTTTTCCAGAAGGAAATCATAACCCGAATCGACTCTTCCTGTTTTGCAGAAGCCATCAACCATGACACGATAAGTGTAATTGTCTGGGATACAACCATTTTCACCCATTTCATGGAAAAGCTTTTCAGCCATATTAATCTTTAGCTTCTCAGAAAAGGCATTAATCATAATATTGTACGTCGCCGTTGTATGACAAACCTTGTATCTTTGTTCCATTTTTCTAAACAGCTGATAAGCTCCGTCCAGGTCTCCGTTACTGCAAAATCCATGGATCAGCGTACCAAAACTGACAATATCAGGAGAAAGACCCTTATTTTCTATTTCCTCCAGCAAGTTCATTGCTTCGTTAACTTTACGAGCTTTACAAAGGCTCTCAATAAGTATATTGTAGGTGATTATATTGGGAACACACCCTTTCTCCATCATGGTTTTAAAAGTTTCCATGACATCTTCGGACTTGGAAGTTTTGCAGAGGCCATTCAGCACCGAGTTATATGTGATCACATCAGGAATAACACCATAGCTCCACATTTGATTCAGAATCTCGACTGCATTCTCCACTTTCAACTGCTTACAGTATCCATCGATCAACGTATTAAACGTAAAAATGTCAGGAAGGTAACCTTTCATGATAGCATCATTCAGCAAATTATTAGCATCAGAGACACATCCCATCTTGCATAATCCATTTATAACTATATTGTAAGTCCATATGTTGGGACTGCAACCATTTCCCAACATCTCATTCATCAGCTGCAAGGCTTGCAAAATGAGTCCCTGCAAAGACAACCCTTTGATAAGAGTGTTATACATAATAATATTAGGCTTTAATCCTTTCCCCAAAGCCTCATTAAATACAGCCAAAGCACGGTCTGTCTCACCATCCCGGCATAACCCATTAATTAAGGAACAATAGGTGAACTCATCAGGAATAAAACCCTTGAAAATTGCATCATTGAGAATATTATCCGTATTTTGTATCATGCCCAATTTGGAATATCCATCAATGACAGAATTGTAGGCAAAACCATCCGGCTTCAGACCTTCGTTCACCATTTTATGCAAAAATATTTCGGCTTCTGCAACCTTGGCACTCTTACACAAGCCACATATTAAGGTATTGTATGTAACAACATCTGGTTTCATACCTTCCTCAGCCACACCATTCAATAAACTAATGGCCTCATTAAGTGCTCCTTTTTTGCAAAGCCCTTGGATAAAGATATTGATTGTAAACAAATTTGGAGATACTCCCCTCTTTATCACCTTATTCAGCAGCTTTTTACTTTCTCGAACATTACCATTCTTGCAGAGAATGTGTAAAAGTTTATTAAATGTAGTGATATTTGGAGAAATTCCGAGGTTAAGCATCTCATCAAATAACTCACATGCTTCAGTGTGATGGTTCTCTTCAAAAAACCCTCCTACTACAGTACAATAAGCAGCTGCATTTATCTCACAACCTTGCATAGGCATGTTTCTTAGAAGCCTCAAAGCAGCATGAGGCCTCTTCGTCCTACAAAACGACTTTATCCTAATCGTGAAAGTGTACACATCGGGAACAATCCCTTTATCTCTCATTCTCATATACACCTTGTGTGCCTGGTTGAAATATCCGTGTTCAACCAAAACATTCATGATTGCATTATAAGATAGAAACGTCGGCTCGCAATTATAAAAATCCATCCTCTCAAACACATCGATAGCTTCTTGAACTTTCTGTTTGCGTCCATAATTTCTCATGCACCCGATATAAACTCCTTCGAGGAGACTGTTATCGACATTCAGTCTCATCTCTAGCAGTACTTTCTCCATAGACTCGAATTCCCCATGAAACCCAAGCTTGTCAACCATGCACTTATAGGTTACCAAAGTGTGCTTGAATCCATCTTCTTTCTTTACTGCATTGAACATTTGAAGCGCTTTGAGTGGATCCCTTTGATATTTCAAAACTGCAGCTACATGTTTAGGAAGCAAAGCAGGACTCATTCCGAAACGAAAATCTAACACAATATAATCATATTCAACCCCATTAAACCAATTAACATTTGAAGGTGTTTAGCTCTGCCTTTCACATAGAGCTTCGGATTATCCTAAAACAAGAAAAATAGCACAAAAGGATATGATCATCAATTTGCAATTTGAAAAACCCAATTCAAAATTAGATCAACTCTTTTCAGTAATGAAAAGCTCTAAAGTTAAACGATCGGCAGTAGATGGAATTTCTTTAAGCTGAATATTGCATAACATTTGAAACAAGTAAAATAAGCAAATGGGTTCACAAATTTCTATTCTTTTCTCCCATTTTCCCCAGGAAACAAACAAAAGCGGCAGTGCCATAACCACTTCATATTAGCATAGACTAACAAAAAATTGAAACAGAGCATTAGAGGAAAAAGGATACCTGCAAATGCCCCCCAAAAAAAAGTTGCTGCATTTGCTATGCCCGAAACATCCCAGAAGAAATTCAACTCCAACTCGGATTGCCGTGGTGTTTTATTTTTTAGGGTTTTACAAAAACAAGGGGGAAAGGGCAGCGGGAACACTGCTTCTCTTTCCATGTTAGCATTTTACAGAAAACAAAGCAAAGATAAAACATAGATACATTCAACAATGGACGGTGGAGATGGCCGAGTTGGTCTAAGGCGCCAAGATTAAGGTTCTGGTCCGAAAGGGCGTGGGTTCAAATCCATATCTCCACAACCCATTTTCTTCTCTCTGAAAAAAGGACAAATAATTTTACCACTTAATCAAGGGGTAAAATTATATATAAAACATGTTATTCGATTTCAATTATAAAATATATTTCTTAATACTAAAAAATCAAAATTAGACATTGGCTGTCTGGTTTTAAGAAAAACAGTTGAAATTATGGATTTTTCAACATAATGAAAATGAGAACAATATTTTTATTTAATTTCAATAATATTTAAATATCCATCTCTAATTATGATTATAGATGTAAATATTTTTATATTTAAACTTTTTTTTTAACTTTTGATTTTAAATTTTTATTAATAATTTTACATTTTTACTTTATTCTTTTTTAATCCACTGAACTTGAATTTGATTTTTATAGAAATATATTATTTTTTATAAAGATTTGATATGTGTAATTTTAAAATTTTATGTCTTAATCTTTATACTTTTATTTTCTTATAATTTAGTCTCGAAGTTATAACAAAACAATTGAAATAAAGTTATATACAGTTATCGACGGTTCGTGATAGCATTCTTCTATTTCTCTAAAATATTTTAAATAATTTATAATTACTTTTTTCATCCAACATATTCCCTAATTAAAAAGGGTAAACTATACATTTAGTATTTAAATTATTATTTTTATTTCGTTTTGGTATTTAAATTTTATTTTTTTAAAAGTATACTAACGTTTAGTTTAAATTTTATTATGATATCTTGTCGTTAAAAACTTAACAGTGATGTTGACGTTTAAATTTAGTATCACCATAAAATAATATACATCAATATTTTTTTTAATTTAGGTACTAAATGTGTAGTTTATCCTTAAAAAAGTGATGAAATATGAATGGTCAATTAAAGCCTGAGGCAAGTAGGACCTCATGATAATCAGCATATATGCTTCTTAAGAAGCCAAGCGATCTCCCCTTCTTCTCTGGCATTAACAACCAAAGCTCTTGGTAATCAGTATCTCTGCTATCTTTCCTACCTGTGCCCAAACCTTTAAATCTCCTCCAAACTTGAGATTATGGATGGCCAGAAGAAGAAACACACCACTCCCGGTGAGGTCTCCTTTTCTTCTTACCTTAGCACCGCCGAAGAGATCTTTGTGCATAAGTTTGCAGAGCCTGGGATTAAGCATCCCCAGGTTGCCATTGGACGATTACAAAGAAATAAGAGCCCGGTGGGTGAAATTAGAGTCTTCGGAGCTGAAAAACACTTCGATACGAAACTCGGTGACATCAACGACGACGAGGATGACCGGCAGCGCCAGATGGGTTCACGGTGGCGGCCCGGGACACCGAGTGCGAGTTCCGAAGCGAGTTGGAGTAGTCAAAGTGTTTTGTTACGAAGTTTCATGAGGGATCGATCCTTGAACAAGGAAAAAAGGGTTGATGGAAGGAGTTTTTTCTCTAATCTTAGCTGCACCGGGTCTTGTTCCAATGGGAAATCTGTTCACGTCGATCAAATTAACGTTGATCGTGGAAGGGTTCATGCTAAAGAAGTGAGAAGGAAATTGATTCAAGTGAAAGATGTGTTTCATCAGAGGAGTGTTCGATCTAACAGAGAAGCGTGTTTTCCGAAACTCGAAACACAGTTTGATGATCCAAGGAAATCACTCGAAGTGTTCGGATCCACCGCGATGAAGAAAGGGGATGTAACCAAGAACCTCGAGAGGAAATTCTCGATGTTAACTTGGGATGCCATCCCGAATGCCCCGACTGCTCCGAGAAGCAGTCGGGCGAACGATGATGTCGAGAGTAATTGTAGTTCTGATCTATTTGAGATCGATAACATATATGGCGATGCTCTAGCGTCCGATGGCAAGTCTAGCTGCATGTCACCATATGCACCGAGTGAGACCAGCGTCAAATGGAGCGTCGTCACTGCCGGAGCAGCGGACTGCTCGTTTGTTTCGGATTATGACAAAAGGAAATCGAAAACAGTCAGTAGAGTGGCCAACACCACCAAAGAGGCACAGAGAAGTCGATCAGGTGGGATATTGGGGTGCAGGAGTCACAAAGCAGCCATGATCGCCGAAACAGCTCACACACGAAAAGAAAAAATGAAGAGTCCGAACACCATAGATCTTAACAAACTATTTCCGTAAAAATCAATGGTGATCAAGGAAGAAGCTAGGTGAAGAATGTTTTCTATATGAACAAAAGTTTTCCTTTTTCGTTATGTAATTCCTCATCAAGAATATTTGCATGTATATAGCCCTTTCGACGTACTGATTGTGTCTCGCCGGAAAGTTGAACAACAATGGTCCATATAATGTCGTGTCACAAAAATGCACAACAGCGTGGGAACACAAGAGGAGAATCTGAATTTTGCTAGGAAAATAGACCGAACTTTGTCCAATCACTTAAGTTTCCATTATTGTTATCATGATTTTCAACCATGGGGACATTCATGTTTTGGGAGCTTTATCAAAACATTGAGCTTTGCATTGACATTTGATTCCTCCATTTCGGAACTCAAAGATCCAAAAGCAAGAGGACACGAGCATCGGAGAAAGTGGGCATTTATTTTATGTCGTAGAATGTATATACGTTGGCAATAAATTAAGAAAATTATAAACAAATATTATCATATAATCACCTGGTACTATTATAAAAAAATGATTCAGCCATTTCCTAGCAGCTTAAGATTTGGAATTTTTGACAATTGCTTGATGTCTTGTTGTTTTCAAACATTGCTTTGCAAACAATAGGATGAAAAGTCGCCACAAGGTCGAAAAATGTGGCCATATCATCACCAAACTGTCTCTTTCTACTTGTCCATTTTGTGGGTACAATGGAAAGATGGAAGCTTCAATGGTGTTTTCAAATTTAATAATCAAAACTACCAAGAATGTTGCCCACAATGACATGTTTCTTATCAAATATAAATAATATGTTTTATTTTTTAATAATATGTGATAATTACATAGTAATATCCGTTTACAATCTTTTTTAACCATTAATATTGTCCACACACTATATAAACATAATTACTTGAATTTATGATCTTAAGGAAAAACAACACTAAATGATACTATTTAAACATATACAATTATTATATATGTATCAAATATATATACATGTTTATTAATCGTCATGAATTCGAATTTATGATGAGATTATGAAATGAGGATATTACACTATAAATGCACATGAGATTAGAGGGAATGAGGGGTTGTCTATCACATCCGTTCTTAAAATATCAACATTATCTTAAGCAGTGTGTGGGTTTAAAAAACATGTCACTGTTGAGATAAAAGATAAGGGTTGAGAAACATGTCACTGTTGTTCTCTAGTCCTAACATCAGCGTAAACTGATAAGAAGAGAACACAGACAAAGGTGTTGTCGGAGAAGCACAACATTACAAACAGATCGAAGGCCCATTGCATATAGTTACTGAATGTCTTCAACTCAAAAGACATAAGACGGTTTACTTGAACCGTCAAGATTGACCCAGTTATATGTTTTTCCGGCAAAATTGGTGAACTGATGTGGTGGAAAAAAAATCCATTATATAAGATGTTGGAAATTATTATTATTTATTTAGTGTGAATGTTATCATGTATATTAAAAAATGTTCAAACGATACGAGGATTCTTGGAAGATCGAAGATGCATAGATCAGTCAACGACTTTAGTAATATTGTATCATTATCAACTGTCGGGTATGCATGCAATTAAAGCCTAAGGAGAAGTCGCTGTATCGTTAAGACATCTTCCCGAAGTTGTAATGTCGTTTGGATGTTTGAGACTCTAAGGAAAGGTAGATGATTGCTTCTAGTGAGTATAGATCTTATAACCTAAGAGAACATGAAGAAACAAAGATGAGCAGTTTGACAAACCGATCAAATATATTTATTCGTAATAAAAAATTAATAAATTAATTTATTTTCTTTTAAGATAATTTATTACGATAGATACTTTTATAATGAACCGCACATATATTTATATATAATATTAATATCATATATTGATATACATTATAGACATAAAAAATAAAATTATAAATATTTAATAAATTTTATTAAAATAATTTTTTAAATTACTATACTTTCAAAAGTCATAAAATGAGCATCAAAATTTGGATTTTATTAGAAATTAACACCAACAGTTAAATATTGTTATCAGGACGACGTGACATATTAATAAGAAATATCTTATTTGACATTTCAATTGTAACTAAAATATATAATGTTGAACCTATATTTTGATATAATAATTTTAGGGTAAATTTTTTGGACTTAATTGAATTTGTTCAAAGTTTTCAAAAATAATTCAAAGTCCATTAAAATTAGAATTTGAACACAAAACAGTTTTATGGGTAAGCAGTATCGGTATTGTTCTTACAGTACCGATACTACATGAACAGTATCGATATTGTTCATGTGGTATCGTTACCAAATGTAAGAGAATTATCGATACTCTCTTGGTAGTATCGATACTACTAGTTTTATATGTGTTCAAATTTCAGAATGCAAAATTGGTACCGATACTCAAGAGGTACCGATACTACTTTACACAGTAATATCGATACCATGAACCCTAGTATCGATATTGATCGAGCCCAACGGTCTTAACAGCTAGATTATTTAAATATTGCAAAGGTAGTACCGATACTCATTAAAGGAGAATCGATACTCCCTGTTCTAGGTAGTTTTGTTTTTGCAGAAAATTCATCCCCAACAGCTAGAAACGGCCACAAACTCATTCCAACATATAAAAACAAGTTGAGAACACCTGAAGAAGATTACAACACCTATCCAAGCATTATAGATCAAGAGAAAAACTCTTTCACTCTTTATTTTCCTTTTCTCTTGTACATATGTGTTTTAGCTCATTGCAAATCTTTAATTTGCCTCTCTAATGAGTTTAATTATTGTAAACACCTACATTTGTGAGATTTTCTTGTTTACATCTTTCAACCTTTGTAAAAGGGAAATTGTTATAGTTTAACCATTGAAAAACTAAGGGTTTTGTAAATGTTACTCTTGAGCCGAGAAAAATAAATAACAAATTGGTGAATTTGTTAGAAAATCCTTAGTGTGGAGCTAAGACAATGGATGTAGATTTGGTTTATAAGTTGAACCACTATAAATCATTGTGCAAATTATCTATCTCTTTTTACTCCATACACAAATTTTCAAAAGGTTAATTCATCATCTCTTGACACTTTTTCAGTTGTTCAATTGAGCTTCATCAATTCTAACATATAACATGTCACATTTTTATTAGTTAGGATAATAAACTATAATTTATGTATCATTTATGAAAAAATAGTTATTTAAATAAAACAAGATATAATTTAGAGATGGACATCTACATTTAGTCGGTTGATCAGGTCACTTATATTTGTTCTCTCATATTCTTTTAGGTCATGAGTTCTAGACATACTATGAGTATTGTCATTCTTTCTTCTAGAGTATCCTTTCATGTTTCCTCTAGGTATAATTAGATTTAAAATTTATATATACGTGTGTGTAATTTAGAGATTGATTTTTCAATATTTTGTTAGAAAGATGAAATCGCTCCATTCAACAACAATGAATATAGTCCGAAATTAGAGCAATATGAATACATGATCAGGCTTCCGTACAATCCAGGCTTGCCTGTCTATGAACAAATGAGATATTGCAGACATTAAATTAGCTGACCCTATTCTCATATGTAATGAGGTAAGGGGAGGTAGGATAGTAAGCTGCCCCTAACGTCAGGTTGAGAGCAGCTTTCGTGGGAGACCTCCGACAGTCAAAATTATGAATTAGCTACCGTGAGACTCGATCCCACTACCACAAGGTTAAGAACCTTGCGCTCTTACCAACTGAGCTGGACGGGCATCAACATTCGAGTGACCGAAGTTTATTCTTTTTCTTTAAACTGCTGATGACATTCGAGTGTAGAAAACTCCCACACCTCCTGATTTCCGCGTTTCACACAATGCAGCATCAACATTTATTTTAAACCCCCTTGCAATGGAGTTTTCCGGTAAGAAATCCTAGTCTGTATAATAAAATTAAAGAAGCATAACTAAGTTTAGAATGTTTTGAGGTTAAAATAAATAATTTAAGAAATACTCGAGAATATTAAATGTATAATAATTTAGAATAATAGGGTAAAATAATTTTAAAATTGAGAATAAAAAATTAATTTAAAATAAAAATAATAATAAAATAAAAGAGAATTGAACAATTGGATACCCATTTAAGGGTAATTTTGTGATCCGGGTTCAATTCATAAACCCATGAAAAATAGTGGGTCAGATACTCGTTCCATAAATTCAAGCATTTTTCTCTAAAATATCCGATAATTTTAAACTGTGTTTATGGATTGACGGATCAAATATTTTTAAACACTTCCAGTATGAATGCTAAAATACCAATAAAAATCAAGAGAATCACCTGACATTTTTAAGAAGAAGTATGAAAGATACGACATTTTTAGAAAGACATAGAAAACCCAACATCTTCCACGAATTGTATGTAGTATAGACATAAACCTGATAAAAATTTTAGAAATCAACATAAAGATTCAAAGAATAATTTATGTGTCTTTGGATATCGATAAATAATCGAAGCATTTTCCATGAAATAGTGTAACAATAACCCTGAATTTAAAAATTATTTTTTATTGTTTACCCAGTTTCAAGGTTTTACATTGACTAATCTGGACCGACTTACATCGCATATATGACTTTGATTAGTGGGTGAGTTTCCTACAATTTTTTTTTGTATAAATAAAAACTCAAACTCAAAACTTTATTTTAACGATATTAAATTACTTACCCTTAAAGACCTTAAGCCTTCCCGAAGACGTGAAGAAGATACTATTGTATATCCAAACATGGAGGACAAAGTATGGAGAATCTCTATCATCGAATTTTCAAAACTACCCTTAAATTTCGTCATGCAAATGACAATAGTGCCATTATTTTCCAGCTGTCATAGTCCTATTGATCCATCATATATCCCAAAATATTCCCTTATGGAGCAGATACAAACTCTCAAAACCCTAGCATTTTGTCCTCTCGCTCTCGCACTGTTCTCCCTCGTCGATATCAAAGGAGAGGGGAAAATATTAGGGTTTTAGAGACAACAGAGCGAAATAGGCAATTTTTAGGTTAGGGTTTTGATTTTTCATTGTTTGTCTGTAAGAAAGAAAACAAAATGGTGGCAGACAAAGGAAAGAAGATGAAAGTAGCAGAGAAGGGAGAAGAAGAGAAATCTGAACAAATCGATGGAGACCTCATTCTTTCCATCGAGAAGCTTCAAGAGATACAAGACGAGCTCGAGAAGGTCCAATTTTCTCATTCTCATTTCACTTTCAGTTATATACCCGTTCATGATTTTTCACTCTTTGTTTATGGTTTATGAGAAATTTGAAGAATTATGCAGGAAAATTTTGGATTTTCTCGTGTTTATATGGGATGATTTTAACTGTGCATGTATTTAATTTTCTGTAATAACAATTGTGCGTCAATGAAATTAATGTTTATAACTGTTTCTTTGATTATTAATTGCCGTACCTGATCAACTTTGTATGCTGGATCTATCTGAATTATTGTGGACTAGCTTAATTGTTTCCTTCTACGAGTTTAAGTGTCCACTTGCTTTCTTAAACACGTTTTTTGAGAGGTCACTTTTGGGTATCATGTCTTGTTGCGGAGAAGGTGTTAATGCGGGTTGTTAATTTCTGTATTTGATCGGCTCCCTATGTCGTATTTATGTTCTGCATTTTTTTGGTAGGAAGCTTGAGTCCCTTGATTATTCTCTTCCATGTGTTAAGTGTCTCCTTCGCTTAGATAAACAGTTTTTGTTGGGGGCGGGGGTTTCTTTACACTTTTGTCTTATTGTAGAGGTGTAAAACTGGATTGTCAATTTCTATACCTGATCAGCCTCCTAAGTCAATTTTATGTTCTGCATCGCATTTCACTACATTGCAAAAAGCTTGAGTCCCATAATTGTTCTCTTCCACTTGATTTAAAGAGTCGTTCAACACATTGTTGTAGGGGTTTACTTTAGGATATTATGTCTTATTGCAGAGGTGATTTAAGTTGGATATGTTTTCTTTGAGCTTATTTATAGGTGGTAAATGGTTATACATGGTATTTCTATTTTTAAATTTTTGTTTCTTTTTTGGTATTTTGTAGATCAATGAGGAGGCGAGTGAGAAAGTTTTGGAAGTGGAGCAGAAGTACAATGAAATACGCAAGCCAATTTATGATAAGCGGAATGAGAAGATTACGTCGATACCTGATTTCTGGTTAACAGCTGTAAGTGGTTCTAATCTTTCCTATAAGTTTAGGGATTTTTTCTTTAAGGCTGTCTCCATGTTGAGAAGAAGGGTTTTAGTTGACTTTTGTTCTTTATGTACAGTTTTTGAGTCATCCTGCTCTTGGTGAACTTTTGAATGAAGAGGATCAGAAGGTTTAATATCACTTCTTTCCCAAACTGAAACTGGTTCTGCACTTCTATTATTTTGCTAAATTTATTTTTGGTTCCATTTATTTATTTATTAAGAAGTGTTCTGGATTTACCTGATATATTCTAGTTAATTGCTTTCTTATTCATTCATTCTTCTTATTTTCAACCTTTTGTTTCTTGATAGATATTCAAGTATATTAGCTCACTTGAAGTGGAGGATTTTAAGGATCTGAAATCTGGCTACTCCATTACATTTGTAAGTTCATTTATTTTTCCTTTTCTTATCTTTGTCTGTAAGTAACTGAAGTTGCACTTGATTTCTTTTTATTGCATTCCACTTTTGGTACAAGAAACATTTAATCATGGTCTAATCAGTCATCACAATTTGTTGACAACTGTTATTATATCTTTTCAGAACTTCGATCCCAATCCATACTTTGAAGATCCGAAACTTACGAAGACCTTTACCTTCCTTGATGAAGGAACCAAGATTGTTGCCACCAAAATCAAGTGGAAAGAAGGCATGGTGAGGGTTTCTTCTCTTATCATGTCAATTCATCTGACATCTTCTTGTTATTTGTTTCCCTTGGTTATTATGTTAAATTAGTTTTCTAAATGTTAAGGGCTTGCCAAATGGAGTTGATCATGAGAAGAAAGGAAACAAGCGCCAGTTTGCTGAAGAAAGGTTTGTTTATCATATCCATCAATATATTGTTTCCCCAGTCTGAGGACATAGGTCACATAAAACCTGAGATTAGTTTCTCTGTAATGTAGTCACTTCATTTTTCTTTTCTCAATAAATTTATTGAACTTCAGCCTAGCATCTTATAAGAATATTATACACTGGATAAATAATTGTAAAGGAAAGGAAATGATCTATGTAAATTTTGTTTGGATATTTAATATTCGCAAGGGAAAGGAAAGTTAAGGAATTTTTACAAACTTTGGTTAAACACTGGAAAGGAAATGAATTATTTTAATGATTTTTTCAATTATACCCTTTTATAAAATAATTGATGTGAAAGTTGAAGGGTAAAATGAATATTTCATGTCTTTTAAAATATTTCTTTTCATTTCCGTAGCTTTTTCCCAAATTGGGGTAACTAAAAACTGAGGATTTCAAGGGAAAATAAAGGATATTCAACTCTCTTTCCTTTCCCTTGCTTAAATGAATTTTTTTTATACAAACAAGGGAAAAGATCTTATTTTCCCTTACTTTCCCTTGTGTTTGTACAATCTAAACTTAGGGTTAGTTTTTTTCATGAGTCATCTTCCTTTTGTTATATAGAGCCAAACCTTGGCAGATTGAGTTTCCTTTTTTAGTGCAGAGAAATTAAGATTACACATGCATTACATATTTTCTAGTAAAGTTTTATTTATTGCAATTTCTTGGCAATTATTCACTTATTTTGTATTGTGATTATAAATAGTATGTATTTATACATCATTTTTACTTTCTTTTTAACTTCTAACATGCTAGGAATTTGCTGTTCTGTAAAGTTTGGGTCACTTATGCCATTGTCTTGTATTTGATTTACCCTCTTTCATGTACTGTGCAAATCATCTATATATTATACTAAAATTATTACACGTGAATGCACAGCTTCTTTAGCTGGTTTACTGATGCTCAACAGAAAGATGACATGGATGAAATTCATGATGAGGTAAACTCTATATGCATGCGCCGCATGTATGTAGTTTTTCCTTCATTTCTTATTTTGTTAAAGAGCCGGTCTAATCCTTCACTTGATAAACACTACAGGTGGCAGAGATTATCAAGGAGGATTTATGGCCCAATCCCCTTGCATATTTCAACAATGTAATTTCCTTCCCCTGGTTTTGATTTATACCATTAACTTAAGATCATCTTTTGCTTCCCTTGTTAATTTTTTCGTAACTTAATGCAGGATGCTGATGAAGAAGATTTTGATGGTGATGAAGAGGTATATCATCACCTTCCCCCTATTTCTTTCAAAAACTTAATTCATACTTTTCCTGTACCCATTTGTTCTAGGATGTTCCCTTTTCATGATAATGGGATGCTGTTGGTTTTGTGGTCTTTATTTTAACTTTTTTGGTATATTTTCCAACAAAGAATGAGTATTTTGTTCCATCTTCATTATAGATATGTTTGGAGAACATGCTTATTGGAGTTTTGCTTGTAGTTAAAATGTAAATTCATCTGTTGAATCATGAATTGCTAATAACAAAAATGTGAAAATAGATGTTGATTACTAGGGTTTTAAGGGTTTATCGAATGCTTGGAAAGGAGTAATCCTTTTACTTCGAAGTATATGCTGATGAGGATTTAATTGCTCATTTTCTTTTTCTGGGGTGGTTGTGAGGTATGGTGACATTTGTGTGAGATGTACTCGCTAGAGCATGCAGCATGAATTTGCTTTGTTTTACCTGCATTTGGACTTCAAACTTGTGTATGTGGTTAAAGTATTCATTGGTATAACTGGTTGTTCTTATAATCATATAGTTATGGAAGAGGTTGCAGTATCTATACGGATTTTGTGGTGATTTGAAAGCATCTGAGATGTATTTTCTCACAATTTGAGTGAATATGTGTATGCTGATAGCAAGCTTTCCTAAAGTCTGCAGTAAGCATGTTTAAGGGGAATAGTATAATTACGACCGAACCTTTACTTACAGGCCAAACTTGTTTCTCCTCTATCTCATTTCCGTTGACAGGGAAAAGATGACACTGATGACGACGATGATCAAGATGACGAGGACGATGATGATGGTGAAGATGATAACTGAAGTAACGTCTGGCCTCTAGTTATATAGTAGTTGCTTGCTTTGCGATCAAGTAAACTTATGTAAAGTTGCTAAGGTTATGGGGAGGATAACCATTTTTAAGGTAGCTTTCTCTGCTGGATAAGCAACTGGCATTATTGCCAGCGTAGGTTTGATTTTCCCTTTTTTCTCTTTGGTTTGATCTGTCGTTTACCTTTTTCTTAATCATTTTGTATGTTTTTGTTTTTCTGGTTTCCTCCCCCATGGTGACATGAACTGATCTGGCATGCGCTGGTCTATAATCTATACTTTGCTTTATAATATGTATGTGTGATCAAGTTTTTTTTTTGCGTGTCCAAAAAGATTAGAAGTTTCTGTGCTTTGTTCCAAAACTGTTCCTTTACCCACAGGCCCCAATATTTGAAGATTATTTGATGATGGGTCAATGTGATGAGTGAAATTAGAACCATTAGAGATTTAACTAAGATATGCGTCTCTGTTCCTCCATTAGTATGTCTCCATTCAATGGACGATTTGTAAATGCCTGATCATCTGAAACCGATATCTTCGGAGAAGATGACGAGTCATGGAAGTCATTAGTAAGGTGAGTCGAGCTCAAATTATAAAAAAATTCAATACAAAATTTGATGCAAGATCCGGATTCAATTAGGCTGGATTAAGCTTGTTTATTTGGAAAATTGAACTTGATATTCATGTTTGGCTTTGGAATTGGTTGTTTGTCCTTGAGCTAATTTGAGTGAGATTGATAGGTTTCATGGCATTTTCTGATGAAATGGACATTGGATCCACTTCCAAGAGGTCGAGAATGAGTGGATAAAAATTTTAAGGTTTAAAGATCATCTAAGGCCGATGACAACCCCTAGTGATCGACAACGTTGGTGAGCAATAATTGTTAATATGAGATTTTGATCGGATTTAAGGATCAAATTTATATTTTGTTTAAAATTTAAGGGTTAAATTAATATTTTATTTAAAGTTTAAAGATGAAATTAGAACTTAGTTCTGTGTACTAACATTTTATATCATTAAATTGGTTGAAATTAGTGACTTGATGATTAAAATAAATAAATTGTTAAAAATAGATGATTAAAACATATTTTTTATATAAAAAAAGAATGCTTAAAAAAGAATAAAACTGAAACAGAATGACTATTCTTATAGTTTAGAATTCAACGTAGTATAAAAAATATAGTTTAGAATTGAAAATAAATAAATTGGTAGAAATAGATGATTAAAACATATTTTTTATATAAAAAAAAGAATGCTTAAAAAAGAATAAAACTGAAACAGAATGACTATTCTTATAGTTTAGAATTCAACGTAGTATAAAAAATATAGTTTAGAATTGAAAATATGAAAGAAGAGCATCCAAATTAGCCGGCGGATAGCAAGTCATTGGAATTCATACGTTTTTTCTCATTGGAATTTATGAAGTCTTAGAATTAGGGTAGCGGAGTAGTATTGCCTTAATTTAGGTTTTAACCCTTTTGACTTCATTTATTTCTCGTAGCTTGCTATCGTTGACTTCTGTGTATCATTCTCTTCATGTTTTATCTTTTTAAATTTAGTTGGGTCTTACGTTTCTGTCTATATGCAGATATTTTTACGCAGAGATTTATTTGCATGGATTACTTCTAATTACAGACGCGTATACGAAGACTGCATATGAAGAGTGTTCAACTATGTATTTATTTATTTATTTATTTATACATGCATTACATTTTATCTTTATTTTTAATTTTCTAGCTGCCGGAGGTCTTCCACGGAAGCTGCTCTCAACCTGGCGTTGGGGGCAGCCTACTACCCTATCCTTATTGCATATGAGAATAGGATTTTATTGTCATCGATAACAAGTCAAATCAAAAGCGATCCATCCATCATAAACATGTTTCCAATCTTCGCTAAAGATTGTTTGTCTGTTGTTTCAGCAGCAGCCTAAATTGGCATCTCCAACTTCCGGCATATATATATATATGTTTACATTTATGTTTTGAAAACATTTGCCTTCATGAATGTTTAACTAAATTTAGGGACGGTAATAGGTAAGGTTAGTTCGAGTGTTACATCTTTTATTCAATATTTAATTTGATTTAAATTTAAAGATGTTTAATTTGATTTAAATTTCGATGTAAATTTTAGAGAGAAAACTCATTGATTTGACATAAATATTAAAAAAATTATTTGATAAAATAGAGTGTTAATTAAAAAATATATAGATAAATGAATATTATAGAATTTGTTTCTAAAAGTATAGAAAATAATTATATCATTATCTTATGTCGGAGTGATTTTTTTTTACCTTAAATTCGAACTTAGCTAGACCTGATATTACTCTTAACAAAATTCGATCTAACTCGAACTCAATTTTTTTTGAAAAAAATGATCTTATAAAATTAGATCGAATCAAAATTTGTTGAAATCGGATAAAATAATTTCCCTAATTAAATTAGATGTCACGTGTTGAATTACTTACTGTATTGATCAGAACTTCATATCTTATGTCAGATCACAATATAAAAAGTGAGACAATTATAAGATCGATATGCATTAATTAATTATATTTAATTCAATTAATATCCTTATTAGTATAAATATTAGACGTGAGATTAAATATATTTAAATATTTAGCATCTTTTAATTTAAATATTAAATAATTAAATAATTTGAACATATAAAAGTTACCTACTAAAATTCACTCAATAGCTAAAATTATTACTATTTTCCCCATTTTAATACCTAAATTTTATGAAAATTTACAAAGAATGGGGGCTTGAACCCACATCCTGAGGCTGAAAGAGCAATAGATTGGCCACTGGACTAAATATAACATTAAATATGATTTTGAAAAAAATAATATTTAAATATTAAAATAAAATAAAAGTGATAATTTAAGTACTAAATGTGTAGTTTACCCTAATTTAAAATATTCACCACGTCTAAGTGTTATCCCATTATATAGCTGGAATATTTATTTTACTTAATTATATAAAATTTCAAATCAAATTTACAAATTCAACTACCCAAAATGTTTTCAATGTAGCGAACGGTCAGCTTTATTTTCATCTCTTCACTGTCTGTCATTACTGCACGAACTTTGTGGCCCCTTCACCGCAGGAAGGAAAAGGAGATAAAATAACTGAAAAAAGAAAGAAAATCAGTAGCTCGTTAGCAGGTAGGATAATGCTTACCATACGGTAAGGGTAATTTTATCTGATAATGATCGAGTCTCATAGAGGGCATTTCATAATTCGGAGGTCTCCTACGAAAGTTGCTCTTAACCTAGAGTTAGGGGCAGCCTATTATCTTACCTTCCCCTTACCTCATTACATATGAGAACAAGAGACAACTTAACTTATTATATGACGTCATTATGAACAATATAAGATTGGATTTAGTGTTAAGTCCGGACAATGGCACAAACATAATGTGATAAATTCTTTCTTTTGTTGGAATAATAAATAAAATGAAACATTTATTTTCCAAAGAGCAATCAAACCTCACGTGTGTTACACGTCAAATTACACAACCAATCAAAAGAAGCAAAGGGATGATGCATGGTGATGGTGATGATGATGATTATCTCTACGAGTGATGACTAGTTGTATCATGTCGATCATCGCCGCCATCGACTCCGCCATGATGTGAATGTGACCCGCTCGCTTGTGACTCCGATATGCCGGTTCCGACACTTGCCGATAAGGATTGAACCCGGCTAACATATTCAAATGCCCTTCATTTATGCCACCATCACCACTTGCAGCGCCGCCTGAACCCAATTGTTGACCTGACAACAATGCCATTGGCGTTGGAAAGTTCATGAAATTATGCAACCCACTAGACATAGTGCCCCTATACAAACCACTGTTATTAACCGTTGGAAACGTCCATATAGGATCACCGCTCATAATTTGATTACTAGGATTAGTAACCATCCAAAAATTCGCCGGAATCTGAGTATGACTCGCCGCCGTGGTCGACTGCAACAAGCAACTTCCCATTTGATGTTGTGAAGATAAATCTTGCTCCGGTCTTCTTTTCCTTCCTAGAACACCTTCAGTGTCTGATATATTTTCCAATGAAGTACCATCGTTGTCACGCAACTCTTGCTTGGTAGGGAACATGAAGTTCAAGTTACTACTACCGGTGGTACTGGGTTGGAAGTTAAGGAATGTCGGGGCCGTTTCGATTCCGATTCCGGGGAAAAAACTCCGGCGTTGTTGCATAGAGAAGTTGGAGTTGAAACCCGAGGAACGAAACTGAGAAGGAACCGACATACTGGAGCCCGAGCTACGGAGGGAGACATTGAGGGAGGTGAAATTTGCTGGGATAGTGCCGGTACCCGTGGCGGCAATCACAGCCGGTTCAGCTTGTTGGAGTAGCCACTCGATCGTTTCTCCATCGGATTTGTTGCCTAGTTCACGGGTGAGTTGGAAAACCCTAGCGGCACAAAGAGCCGGCATGCGGATCCTACGACCGCGTCCCTCGACCTTGGTGTGTCGGTCCTTGGTCGAAGTACGTTTAGGAGGTGGTTTCTTGGGAGGTTCCGGCAAGATTTGAAAGGTCGAAATGGAACTGTTTGTGTTAGGTTGATCTGCAGAGGAAGAGGAAGGTGCCATGGAAGGGAAAGTAAGGGAGGAACAATGCTGGCTATTATCTTCTTCTTTCTTCTCCAGCAATTGGAATGGAAAAGTAGGGCGGTTCTGGTGGTGCTGTAGGTAGTAAAGCTGGTGGCTTTGGCCGTGGTGGAGTTGATTACCATCATTACCTCCTCCTTCCATGATACCATGAAAGTAGTATAATACAGGTGTTTTCTCTAATGCGCTTCCTTTTTCTTTATGAAAGAGTACTTGTTGTGATGACGACGACAGATAGTTTTTGATTAGTTTAATTTTGGCCTGGAATTCCCTTTGAGAATTATATCATATGGTTGTGTGTTTGTTTTTTTATATAAATAAAAAGTAAATATAATGTGGGGTAATGTTAATGTGGTTGGACTGACAGACACATTGGTTCAGATTCCACGTGAGGGTGCCCTTTTTTGTCATTCAATCCATAAAGACAATGGTGACCCCATCCCATGTCAAAAATATTATAAAAGATTTATGATAACTACCTATTTTAGTAGTTTCGTTCTAATTATTTTATTATTTTTTAAAATCACATTTAATATTATGTTTTGATATTTTTTATTAAAATAAACAGAACTGTTAATTTGATAATTTTTTAACGATGATGTGATATTATCTTATAGAAAACACATCATTATTAACGTTAATTTTTTAATGTTGAGTGATCAAAATAAAATTAAAATATAACGTTAGACATGAT